TTTGGTTTCAGTGATTTAGCTAGTGTTAGGAACTGAATTCTGTAAGAATGTGTTAATGAGATCAAAATCAGAGTTTACATAATCTAAATCTATTTGGTTTCTGTATAAACCTTAACTTTATGGAAACTTTGCTACTACAAGTGAAATCTTAATAAAAGCACTTGTATTTGTTCTATTCAATCTTGCTTCCGCTTTCCATATATTTTTGAACAACCAAGGAATGCTCACAAAACTTATGATTTTTCTATTTTACAGTTTGTTAAATTTACTTATACTAACTAAACATTTGATTATTGGAGAATATGCTGATCAATATAAGCCTATTTATAATAACTTTGCTGCACATTGGAGTAACGGAGCGTTTTGGGTGAATATGTCATATGAGTCTTGCCTACTTGTGTATGGCAGCACTCGAATTAAAAAATGTGTTTATTAGACAGATATAATGCTTCTGTCTAATTCAAATTATTGATAATCAATATTTCTGCAATGTGACTGTATTGATTGGTATTGGAAGGAACGTGAGTTAATTGGACTTTTGGGAAAACACCTAATCTTCAAAATGTATAAAATTTTCTGTTCTTTAATTTTGTTTTGCCATTAATGGTTTTGTGTGCACCGTTGTGCTCAATAATTATTAAATGGTATAAAACACAGAATTAATTAGTGTTCAACTTATTTTAGTGCATTCAAATCAACAACTAAAGCATTACAAATGATTTGGTTTCTGCGAGTCTAACTACTTATTCTTCTTCTATGTTTTGTATCGGCAGATCCGTATGCATATAATGCAAGTATGCTGTAGCAAGAGTAAAGATAACTATCCTAAATGATTCAAGATTCTTGCTGCACACTAACACAAATATATTTCTGTAACGTTTCGTCTGACCAAGGTTAGACTTCTTCAGACATACATAAATATATTTGTGTTAATATAGACAGCTTTTCATTCTTGCTACAGAATCTCTGCATTAAATATACAAATCAAAGTTAGTCACCACCAGTTAGTTAGTCTTGCTATGATGTAACAAAATCACAAGGCACACTAAATTTTACGTTAGTCATGATCTTATTGGATTGATTATCTATATTTCTGCAATGTGATTAATTGGTATTGGAAAAGAAACGTGATGTAATTAAACTTTTTGAGACATCTATGTAGGTTCTTTTTGTTGCGAAAAAAAAACAGTCTTCTCATAAACTACTGGACCAATGGCTATGAAATGTATTGTATTTTTCGCTGGAAGACTATTACCGGTACTTTAATTTATTGCGAATGTTTTCTGAGTGAAGCCTGTATGAAAATTGATATTATATTATTAATAATCAATATATATCAGCAATGGGGATAGTGTCATAGACTCTTTGTGACTGTTCCATCACTATCTCCTTTCCCTCTTATGAATAGGTCAAGTGTATAGCGTAGTATTTCTTATGACTTCAGAATTTCATTGATGAAATCAAGTTACTGGTGTGAGGCGTTGATTTACAATACATTATCAAAATCTTTGTGACAAAGTTTTGCTAATCATTGTTAGTTCATTAATTATTAACAGGTAAGACGAATTGTGGTAGACTAGATAGTGTTTTTGGTGTTTCCCGATTCTAATTAGCTCCCTTGGCACTGTTCCTTTGCATAATCGCACATTCCGTTCGGATTACCTGGTACCCGCCATATTAGTTTAAAAGGGAACGCCGATTATTAAAAATTAGTCTTGTTAGAACCATTAGTTTGCTTGAACAATCCCAATCCTTCTGATCTGATTAGATTTGTAATCTCATTAATATGACATCATTAGGAGTAACGTGGTCTTGGTGGGAGGAAGAAATATATTTAATGTTTTTTGAGAGAAAATACAAAAGTATTGCTTGGTGATTGGTGCAGTTTAACTAATATTGAATATTCATTTAGTATTAATTCAATATATGTTGATGAGCACAATATAAACTATTAAAACTGTTTAATAAGAGGCCAGAGTGCCAGTAATACTGCTGAGGATCCTTTATTCTATGAACAACTGTAAGAGTTTTTATACTTGAGAAAGTAATAAATATACGTTGAAAATGGTAGGAAATCACTTCGTTATGGTATGTAGGAAAAGCATATCAGTCATTTTCATCCCATTTTATATAATGACAATCATTTTACTCAGAATGATACTCCGCAGTCCTTTACATGCGTCAAATCTGGTGAGGTTTTAAATTTCGGTTTTGCCTACAGATTCTCAGCCCTTTTATGTTTTCTGATAGAAAATACAGAAATATGGCTTGGTAATCGGCGAAGTCAAGCTCTTGCCATCAGTCTTTTACACGTGTCTAGTTCTGACATGGGCTAAGTTTGGGCCAAATCCGGCCCATTGGGTAATTCAGTCTGGCTTGCCTGATGCTGCCACAACCAAACTTTTATGTTTAAAAATAGCTAAATGTAAAATATAACTCAAGGAATTTCTTGAGATTGCAATTAAATTTATTTTTGGGCAGAGACTTATTGTTTCTACTTTTGCTTTTCACTGTAAATAAAATTCTGATCATAAAATGTGATTTTCTATGTCACTGGCAAAAAAAAAATTTTTTTTTTTTTTCTAATATGTGTTGATATAAGAATACAATAAGGTTCATCATCCAATATGATCCCCATCATTATTATTGTATGTTCCATTCAGCATTAGTATCATCCAATTTTTTTTCAAATTCATATCATAATTATAATAAAACATTTAGGTTATTAACAATAGTTACATAAAAAACAAAAATGACAATTAGCAAATGAATAATTTACACTATTGGTAATAAATTAATTTAAAACAATCTTATTTTACATCTATCATAAACATCGGCATAATATATTTAATATATTAACATAGCTGTTATCATTTCTATCTCTTTCTAAATTAAGTCTGTAAGTAAGTAAGCAAAGTAAGTAAGCAAAATTTTGTCATTGGTCCAATAACCTTGCCTACCCCTCGTCTAGTCTGATGAAAGGTAATGGTGAATTAATTTGATTTTGTCGCTGTCTGCTTATTCCCATGCCCCTAACTGTAGCACCTCCCACAAATTTATATTCTAAGGTGATAATTACCTATAATCAGCTTATCAGGTGTAAACAATAATTATAGACTACTGATAAGAGATAATGATTGTTAATTGTTTTCTCAAGAACTTTGTTAAATGCCTGATTACTATATTAAACTAATTATATCTATCTAGGGATATTTTACTGCCCTGGGGGGGATTTAGCTTATACTTGCTTTATTTATAAGTTGCTGTAAATTTTATTATGTATTGTTATGCATCAAACTTTAAATAAACGGTTATTTGGGCTGCTTCAAAGGTATAGATGTTCAATGAGTTTGTTTTTGAAAGGCAGGTAGTTGAGATAATATGTATTTGATTATACTATTTTTATAGTTATGTATATTTAAGGCATTGTCTTTGAGATGTAGCCATCAATTTAATATGTCCATCCAGAGATATTTTATTGTAATAGGCTGTAAATAACATTGTCTGGTACATTTATAACTTTATGAGCAGTATGTCTATTAATAATATATGTAGTTTAGGTATTGGATGAAGTGGAATTCGTGATATGTGAAGTCTTGATACAGAATTTTTCGAGTTATGTGAATTCATTATTCACCTCTTGGTTTCCATGGTTTCCAGCCCACGGGCCAATTACAGCCCATCTAACAATTTCATATAGCAGGGATGGCGAACCACTGGCCCGCGAGTCACAAAGTGACCCATCGCGTTTTATTCGCGACCCGCCAAGGCACGAATAAAATTTAAAAAAATGCTAACATATCAGTTATAAGAATTGATAAAACCGGCCATAAATTCATATCCAAATTGGTACTTTTTCGGGCTGGTATGGTAATTTTCAAAACCCCTAATCTTGGACGCATGTCTGCACCGCTGTGAACCGTTATTCAGCTATTGGCACTGACATCGTTCATGATTTGTTCATTTGTCGCTACGTCTAGTCGCTTTCGGAAGTTCATCGGCAGAGTGTTTGAGGGGTTATTATGCGAGAACTAGATGCTACTTTGTATTTTATTAGTTTCTCGCCTACGATGTCGTTAATTAAGAGAACAAAATTTTTCAGATTTAAAATAAAAGCCTAAAAACCTAAAATAACAAGGGGGCAGTGTAAAAGTGCCTTAATGTGGTTGAAAGCTGATCGAAAAATAGAACACTATCAGAGTGGAATTCCTTCCAAACTCTTTGAAACCGTAAAATAATTTGCCGCATCATCCTAAACGTTTTTGGTAATTCATATGCGTGTTTTCGTACTCTTATTTAGTAAAATGGAGTGCCTGAATCAAGTCCCTGATAGAAGTGCTGCATAAGTAACGCCCAAAACTACGCCAACATCAACAGAAACTTATACGATTTGTTTCATATAGATACAAACATTGATCGAATATCTGTGACCCACTCTCTTCTGTTCTGCGATAAAAATATAATTTTGACCCATTCATAGAAAAAGGTTCGCCATCCCAAACAGTTTAAATACCTCGTATTTACCTTTTTACGTTCTAGATATCGCCAAATGTTATGTCATTATCACAGTTTAAGCATTTGTATATTCATAACAATTCAGTTGTACCAGTATCCTAATTAAACGTACCAGTGCTGGCATCGGCCCTTTGCTGGCGCTCCCCTCATATCAGCCCACAACTATCCTCTCGCTTCTAATTTTGGCTCCGGTCAATCAATTTTGGGAACCATTGTCCTAGATGTTTTCCTGTTGTATTGAAATGCGTTAATTATCATTTACTGCTGCATAATGCATCAATATAATTCTGTATATTTTCTTATCCCATGAATTTTCAGTTGTTGTCCGAGATTTTGTTCTGATGTGAGTTCACTTTATTTCTGAGTTGTTGTGCGAAGCTTTTGACATTTTTACTGGTTGCTCATCACTTCGAAACGAATCTCCCTTTTTTTTGAGTGAGTGTGACTTTTCTTTTAGCAAATTGTCATGAAAACTTACCGTATATTTGAATTTCTTCTAGATGAATTTATGATAATCTGATCAATAACAGTTAATTTAAATTAAATAAAACGAGTAATTATGTGCGACCAATTGGATCCGAGAGTGCATCGTGAATTGGAGCGTCTGAACGAAGCTAGCAATGTGATAAATAGATTGGAAAATAAACTGAGTGAAACCAGGAACCAGTACCGAACAGCCTTATCAGAATCTACACATCAACTTAATTCATTAGCGAAAAAATTAGGAGATTGTGTCACGAAAGCGCGTCCGTTTTACGACGCAAAACAAGTTGCAAAAGAAGCGCAGTTAGAAACTCAACATGCTGCTGTAAGATTCGAGCGTGCTGTGAGTATGCATGTCGCGGCACGTGAAATGGTCGCTGTTGCCGAACAGGGCATGGAAAACGGTGGTGACACTACTGACACCGCCTGGCAAGAAATGTTAAATCACGCAACTTTGAAAGTTAACGATGCTGAATTGGAACGAATCGCAAGTGGGGAGGAACATCAAGAAAAAATGGAATTGTTTAAAAAAGCTGAATCAAACATGAACGCTTTGCAAAAAAAATTAAAATTCAACATTATGAAATCACGAAAATATTTCGAATTTAAGGAACAAACAAACGCACGAATTGAAGCCCTCGTTGCGCTCGTAAAAAGCGCGGAAGCACAACTCTCAAAAGCGAAGATTGATTACTCCCAAGCTCTTAGAAGTCTCGAGAACATTAGCAACTCCATCCACGAAGCGCGGAAGTCACTAGGAGAACGAGGAGCAGGCGTTGGAGCAGAAGACGAGCCCGTGTTACAAGAATCTGAAGCAGAATTAAAGATTGAAGCAATTACGCAATTTTCTTCAAAAATAGAGGACGATGAAACTTCAATTACCATGGAAACGGTAAAAAATAACAATGGCAAAGAAGCAAAGGTTATTTTATCTTCAAAATTAACGAGATCAAAAACAAGTGAAATATTACTAAGCGTAGCTGATTTAAACAGAGTACAAATTAAGTAAAAAAAAAGCATATTTCAGCATTTTTTTATTCAAAACAATTTATTTATTTCTGTTATTATTAAAGTGAACATTGCCATTTATGTAATTTTTTGATCATTTTCAATTTTGTCGTGTCAATTTCTTAACGAGTCTCACCTTGTTAAACTTTAAAAAAAACTTTTTTATTCCTACCATTGATGAAAGGGAAGGGGGCTTTTTCCGTAAGTTTATCACCTTGTTAATCCCCTTATGACCTAAGTTCCTGTATTATGGAATTGAACATACCTACCGTATATGACGTATATATTGCATATAAGCTGACCCTATGAATCATAACACACCATCGCATCTATCACAGCAAATGGTTGCAGAAAAGAATTAGTGCAGTCAGAGTTATGCGTGTATAAGCCAACCCCTTAATTTGGCAACTTTTCCTTTGAATTTTGAACTCGTCTTACATGCAGAGATATACGGAGAAAAAATAAGGTAGTTGCAAATTTGGTTTGACATCTTAGGTTCTCATGCTCATCTTCGGCAATATTTTGTACTGGGCAGATTCTGCAATCCATGTTGAACTATTGAAGCAAAAGTTTAAGCAAATTTTTTTTTTTTTTCATTTTTATTGAAAGTAATGGCCTATATGAAGTTGTCACGACTGATCGGGTCTTCAAATTACTTTCTGTTAATTTAGCTGTATTAAATTAATCTCTTCTATGTTTGTTTCACAAATTTTTAAATAAATTGGTTGGGTTATCCGCCTGGTTTCTATAATATCCTATGAACAGAGGCGAAGGAAATAGATTAAAATACCAGGGGGAGGGGGTAACAGGGTACCCGAGTTACTAACTAACTATCTTGCCGTTCATGGGTGCAGCAGGCGCCCCGAGTTCCCAGCCAAGCCATTTAGTGTGGTCCTTTTCAATACTCAGATTTTTCCCCATCAAGCATAAAATCCTAATTGTTAGAATACATTGTTTTTTTGCTCTTGTTGTGCGCTAAATATTCCAACATTTTGCCTGGTGCCTTTATTACTGGAAGTCTCGAGCGATAGCCGCCTTCCGCATTTTATAGTGGATATATGGCCCACTGACAAAAGATGTTGCACATCTCTGCTATGGTTTAACGTAACGTTTGTTTATTTTTTGCGAAAGTTATTATAGCCTCGATGAAGTATTTAAACTGATAGGGCCATTGTTTGTTTTATTCATGTTACTGTGTTATATGATCCGAAGCGAAATCAATTTTTAGCTTGGTGATAGTTTTTTAGATGTGGTACCGGTATTGGAGCGCAAGGTTTTGGAATTTTTTTCAATGTGCAAACTGAAGCTTGTTTTGTTATTTTCTTTTGCTAGAGATATATTGTTTATTTGTATGTTGCCAGTTTTTCCATTGGCTGTGATTAATAGAAAGAGGAATAAGCTTGACTTGTTTTATTTTTGAACTTGTAAGATGGGATTTCGAAACAAGTTGTTAGTTGCCTGGATAGCTGCTACACCATATTGTCATAAGATTGATCACTTATCGATCTTTAGATCGGTAAGTATGTTGATAGGTATTCGTCTGTCTGTTTGTTAGATGCACACGATATCTCACGAAGGCGTGGTTGAATCTGCTCCAAATTTTGCATGTGCATTCATCATATCTCGGACCAGAAGCCCATTGATTTTGGATGGATTATGATGTATAATTAGTGATGGGACACGCGGTGTCACTATAGAGTCATGAATCGAAACCACAGTTTCGATCGATAAGTCTTCGGTCTCTGACCGATATTCTCGTTCTTATTTTGAGCGTTGGCGGGGATGGAGAAAGTTTATAAGATGGCTCAATCATAAGGTGGCCCAGTAGTCCATGCCAGAAACGGTTAACTTGTTGCTTGATGGACTACAGTGACCTGCATGATCTTTGACAGTGAAACGTAATGTAGGATTGCCATGCCGTCTGGAATTTAGGGTTAAATTTTGCGTCCGGGACGAATTTAAAAAATGCTTAAATGTCCGGAATCCGGAATCGTACTGTGCACACTGCTAATGAAGAACATTGTTATTTCGTACCGTGCGCATATTTTTACCTACGAGGTCATGAAAATAGTCATGAACTGTCCGGAATTTTGCTTTTTCAAATATGGTGACCCTAGCGTAATGCATATTTGGGGGTACTATTAATTTCTCACAAGGTGGTTGGTGGACTTTTTAGGTCTTGAATCATCACAGGAAGCTAATTTGTGAATGATTGACATGAGTATATATATAAGGTAGGTGGTAGCGTGTGTGACAAAATACGGCTTCTGGTTGAAAATCCATGTCCAAATTAGTTAACCAGATGTGTGAACCTATCATATAAGCATTTCATTCTAGTACTTCCAGTTCTTCATGAAAGAATTCAATTTTCGTTTTTAATGGAATAATAAATATGGACCGAAGTTCACTAGACGCCGTTCCTTTTTTAAAATAATATGACAGGTACTAGGGCCAGTGCCAAGGGAGCCGATTAAGATCGGGAAACACTACCATAATTTGTCTTTCCAGTTAATAATTAATGAATCAACGATGATTGACACGGAATGCAGCGGAGGGTTGTGAAAATGGCCCGGACGCTATTATTATTAGTCAGAATGCAGTGTTATACCTATGTTATGTACATCCATTTTTAGGCCATAACATTTGCAGCGTCCCCATCGATTCGAACGCCACGTACGACCAAGCAATCCAACTCATCGAGAGCAGACGAATTTTGTAATTGCGATTTCATTCATAGCGGAACGAAAATATTTACTTTGTTGGTCAATACTGACATCTCGCGGTTATAAAAATTGGATTCTTTGCAAGTACTCGGCAAACAAAAACGGGACATGTGGGAAGGGTGGTTCGATCTTGATAATGCGGCATTTGTAGGTCGGTGTCTCTCGGTTGTCGCTAGTTCTAGTCAGTCAGTCAGTAGTTTATTTTATCACAAACCGAATGTAAACATTGACGAACAAAATTGAAAAAATGAAAAATTACATTTCAGTGTGAAGGGAGACGCGATAAACCAGAGAAGGTTATCGAGCAGCGTCACCTTTGAGGCAGTAAGTCTAATATTAAATCATAATGAGAAAGAAGTCAAACATAAAATACTAACAAAAGCCGGACTTGAGACGCCATTAAGCGACCCGTTAACCCGGATAATAACGAAAGAAAGCAACTCCAGACACGACAGGCCGCGGTCGCCATGGTGAACAACCAACCAAGAGAGCCGGACTGCCGGTGCTCTGTGGCTGCGCTAAAGACTTTTGTACCGGTATCGCATTTAAGAGGGACATCACCGGATAGTTTTAATTAATTTACAAGCTAAGCAATGTTTTAAATACACACTCGTGGGGCTATGCAGAGGCTGTGTGTTGGGGGTAAATAATATATATACCATAACAAGAAGAAGAGTTAGAAATATGAAAAAAAAATAAATAAGAGGTAAGTTAAACATTATTCTGATGTATGCTAAGTGGTTGTTAGACCGAAACGTTGTTAGCGTAAAACATTACATGATACAAAAGATGCACATTATAAAGAATGGTAAAACCAGTAGGATATCATACTATGAAAGTTGAAACACAGAACTTGTGCATTTGAGTGTTGACCAGATACCACAAGGTAACAATCGAGCGATTTTAAGAAGTAGTTCACAAATTTAATAAAAAAAACACGACTTATTAATTTCACTGTACAACATATAATCTATAAACAGAAATAAGGATGAATAATTAATTCACTGTGCGATATACTATAATAAAGTATCACAAAATAATCCAAGCTTTTAATTCCGGGTGATGTCGATTTGAGGGCTGTGGATCAAGTCAGGTATTATCTTAATAAACACGAAGGAAGGGTAAAAGTGTGACTTGACAAGTTCAAGAGGCCTGGTAAGAAGAGATCAGGAGATTTTTATATTTAAATTTGAAGGTCACATAGGATGAGTCATGTAGGTTATTCCAAATTAAAACGCCTTTGTATTTTAAAGAGTTTTGGGATTTGTTAAGGGAAAAGCGAGGTACAAATAAATTACTCTTTGTCGAGGAACGAGTGTTGTGGTCATGTACTGAGCTAAGGGTCACAAAGTAATGCTCAAAAGCTGCTGGTAATTGATTGTTTTGGAATTGATGCATAATCTTAGCAATTTCTAGCTTATGGATATCAGATAATTTTAACACTCTATGATTGTGGTATAGAATGTTTAAAACGTAAGTAGAACGTTCTAAACTTGTTGTGTTCTACGTTATTGAGAAGAAGATGAGTGCTGATGAGTTGAATTTGAGGAGAAAATGTGGATAAGTGAATAGTGTTACACGTTTGTGTTTCTCTGTGTGGCGGAAATTTTACTTTTATAAATTCCCGTTTTTGTTTTGCTCGTGTGATATTTATTGTTTAAGTACCGTTCCAATATGTTCTGGCTTTCACTTTGAACAAGTTTTTGCACGTACAGACATAAGTTATTTACACCTAGTGAAATGCAATATTTGTGAAAATATCTTCTGTACTGAAATATCACATTTTATGCATATTCGTCTGGCAAAAGAAATATAAAAGAGTTGATAATTAGCAATAACGAAGACGGGATGTATGCACGAGACCGTACTGTGCATGTCGAATCGCTTCTAGACATTAGCTTTTTTTATTAAATTTCAAAGGGGGGGGGGGGGGGGGGGATCTACCTCTTCCCTACCCTATAGCTATGCCCCTCCCTGATAATTGGTGTTTTCCTGAAATTGCCCCATCACTCATTTTTATCCCATTTCAAAAAAAATTTGTTTGGCAATATTTGCGAAAAACATCTTAACTGTACAAAAAGATCAAATTTTATGCATGTGTCTTGCAGTCTTTATTACTTATCGATCTTAAGATCGCTAAGTATATTGATAGGTATTTGTCTGTCTGTGTGTGTGTCTGTTAGATGAACGCGATATCTCGCGAATGCGAGGTTGAATCTGCTCCAAATTTTGCATGTGCATTCATCTTATCTCGAACCAGAAGCCTATTGATTTTGGGCCAATTATGTCGTATAATTAGCGAGTTATCAATCAATTATTGATATAGTGATCTAGATTTTTGTAAAGCGAGAGAATTTTGAGACCCGCCGAGTGTGTGTGTGCGATGCGCAGTGCGCAAGTTACAAGAGCGGATGAATCGAAACTGCAGTTTCTGTTTTGGGGGATCCCCTAACTATCGATCGATAGGTCTTCGGTTTCCAACCAATATTCTCGTTTAATTGTTGCTCCACCTTACAAGTTCTTCGTGGCCCAACTTAGCCAAAGTTGAATAGAATCTGAGAAATCATATCAGAAATGTGGTGTCTCGTGTAGTTTCGTACCTAAAGTACTTCTATTGGGAGTAGCATAACGATTTTTGCACATGTCAATCCTAACCCCCACCTGACTGCGCTATCCAACAGTTATATTACTACGACGTCACAAACACGTCATAGAGCTTGCCAAAGTATATCTACGATCGCCCAAAATGGCATCTGCGCCGACGATGAAGAACTAATGGCAGCGATCTCTTTCCTATTGGAATCGTTGCGACGAGAAAACGAAAGAAATAGCTTATTCCATTTCGCAGTTTCAGGTGATCGCCTGCGCGTCTCGGATGGCAGTGCGTATAGTTTAAAGGCCATTATTACGTCACTGTGACGTCGTAGTGAAGTTATTTTTGGATGGCGCAGTCAGGTGGGGGTTAGGGTTAACATATGCAAAAATTGTTATGCTACACCCACTAGAAGTACTTCAGGTACAAAACTACACTAGACTCGAAATGTGTTTGTCTAATTTTTTGTTTTAATTTCTTGTAATTCCAAACATAGGTGTAACTAATTTTAAGCCAATGCAACTAATTGTTCAACAATCTTTATTACATTTTATAGTAGATGATTTTTTGTCATTCTGTGACATCACAGAGTGATATGCAACTAGTTGAGTTGTATAATTTTGCTGCGTTTCGAAGAATGCTTGTTGTACAATAAATAGAGACTCATCTCTAAGCGCAAAGGCATAGGTACACACTGAAATATCGAGAGCTATACGCACTCATTCAGTTGTAAAGGAGATTCTTCTTTGCTTGTGCGAAGCCTTGTATAGTGAAAACACCACATAAAAATGACTGATATTGCTCTCTTTATAAAGCAAATAAAAATGGCCATAATATGTAGAAATAGAATAGACTATTTTAGACAGTGGTTTTGAAACGGTGGGGCGCGCCCCACAAAGGGGGGGTGGGGGTAGACATTTTTGAGGAAGCGTGAAGCTAATTAAGAATAAAAACATTTTTTATATTTGATCTTGCCTTATTTTGGATATTTACATTCCATACACGCATTTTTAACATGTTTTTTGAATAAAACATACTTTCGCCTTATTATCTGTAACTATTTGTTAGTTATTTTTGAGGTGGGCGTGAGACTTGACAGACTCTAAAAAGGGGGCGTGGCTTAAAAAGTTTGATGAGATCCACTGATATAGAGTAAACGAAAAGTTTATACAAAGCATTATTTTGAATAGAAAATTAGATGTTTATGATATGTTTTTATGCATTTGCTAATTTTTGTCTTTATTTTTTTATTGTTTAAAAAAATGACCGAATTCTCAATGTTTTGCAGTTTTCCTGTTTTTATCAAAATGCATAATATTCTGATACATAATGCTAAAATTTGGAGAAGTGGACTCAAAAAAAGTTCAGACAAAAGTCAATTTTATAATTGGATGATTTTTGACAAATTGAGCGGTAAAATAGAATCTTGTGGGAAACAAGATGATAACCTTCCATCCCTAAGGTCGAAGGTTAAAGAGGAAATAGATTGTAATGGGAAATGGATACTTCCTGGATTCCATGATGCTCATATTCATATAAGATGGCACGGGGCATACCTAACTGACCACACTTTTTTAAAAGTTCCGACTTCGATAAAACAAATGCAAGAAAGGTTAAAGGTCATGCTCTGTGACCCATATAATGACCCCACTGAAGGAAACTCATGGTTCGTTGCATACGGTTTTGAGCAACATGTTATGGAGCGATACCCCACTGCTCAAGATTTAGATGAAATTGAAAATCAGCGTCCATTACTTGTCTACCACTCTTCATTCCATATCGCCGTATTGAACACAGTTGGACTAAAAATGGCAGACATTGATGAAAATACAGAAATCAAAGGCGAAGGGGTGGATTTGTACCCAAATGATCACCCACTCGCTGGAAAACCGACAGGGATTCTCAGAGAAGCAGCTATTGATCTTGTGATGGATTTTAAAATTCCAAGGTAATTTTTGATTCGGTTTGCTCTAGTTCACTGTTTTCGAACTTTCATAATCCGTGGCCATGTTTAATACTTGAAAATCTGAAAAAAAATGGAAGGGTTGCCAAGTCGGAACTTGGCGTGTTTTCGTAAGAGTCTGAGAAAAAGTTGTCTTTTCATACTCAAAGAGTCTGAATTTGAATTTTCGATTCTCCCATGTTCACCTAACAAAACAGAAAAACCAGGAGAAAAGTCCCACAAGAAAAAATAAAGCCCTCTAGTGAGTTCTTCTACTGAGAATTCGAAAGCCCCGCCTCAGCCCCTTGATATGTCAAAAAATTATTGCGATACGCTCACTAGAAGTATGTTAGATACGAAACTACACGAGACCCAAGAAATGTACAAACCCAAAATAAGGCAAGCAAGATCAAATCTAACAAATATTTTGAATTACCATTAGCTTACGCTCCCTCAAAAAAGTGTCTACCTCCCCCTTGTGGGGCGCACCCCACCGTTTGAAAACCGCTGTAGTTGTGGAGAAAAGCGACGCTTCCCAACAACAACAGCGAAAAGAAGCTGTAGTTACTTGCTAATATTATACAAATAATATATTCCACTTAGATCCAGCTCAAAAATTAAGCAAGCAATCCTCTCAGCTCTGAATGAATGCGTTAAACTCGGGATTACTAGTGTTCACTGCCTCGATAAAGACGTTTGGAATGAATATGTTGAGCTTGCCAAAGAAGAGAAACTGCCTATTCAATGCTTTTTTGCAACTTTTTACACTGATATGGATACAAATAACAGACCCACTAAAGCAGGGGAAACTCATGGCTCAAACTTGAGTTGTAGGTGGGTTGTCTGAAAATTTTTTTGAAAAGTTTTGTTTAAATCAAAGTCTCACTCACTCAGAAGTAATGTGCATCTCTGTGCAAAGTTACAGACAGGCACTAATCATAAACTCGAAATTTAAATATTTCACTAAAATGGTAAATAGTTGAAATTTGCATTGTGAGGATTTTTTAATTCGATGTGTACATGAAAAAACTTAATTTTTTGTGTGTGGCACATCTAGATGTTTGGTTATATGGCCCATCAACAAAAAATGTTGCACACCCCTGGCTTAGTAGGTAGGACGTTGCACTTAATCATGTTGGTATCAAATTGAAAAATCTTTGGTTCCAAATCCATTTCCAGGGCTTTCTCCAGAGTTAAGGTATGCAAATGTCAAATATGTTAAGTACACACTGTCAATATTTATTTCATAGATGTGTAAAAATATTTGCCGACGGTGCTCTTGGTAGCGACACTGCAGCGTTGAGTTTGCCCTACCCACAAAAAGATGATAACGGGAAAGATAATTATGGTGTTCTATACTATTCACAGGATGATTTAGATAAAATGGTGAGTTTTATGTGTGTTTTATTCTGCATGGCATGTGTGCTCTTTCTATGTGTGTGTTTGTGTTGTTCTATCTTATGTGACTGTGGTTCTGTTTTTGTACGATTTGCTATGTGTGCTTATCATATACTATGCGTTTTCATGTGTGTGTGCCTTATTCTGTGGGTATGTGTCTTACCATATGTGTGTCTGTTTTTTGTGTTTGTGGCTCATCATAGGTTTCTGTTTGTTTTTATGTGTATGTGTTTTATTCTATTTGTGTGTGAGTGTTTTTTCTAAAAACTTTTTTTTTCTTATGTAAGTATTTTTTCGATAGGGTTTTATTCTATGCTTCTCATTCTGAGCCTGTGTTGTTGCTAATGTGCGTGTCTTCGTCTATGTGTATAGGTATTGTTTTATGGGTACTCCTGTAGTATGTGTATGTGTCTTCTATGTGTGAAAATCTTTTAGGACAAAGCAGCCTTATATCTTGTTCTTCAGGTCAAGGAAATTGACAGCCTCGGATACCAACTTGAGATTCACGCTATCGGTGATAAAGCAGCTGAGTCAGCAATAATTGCCATGGAAAGGGCGAACATACTTCCTGACAAACGACCAATCATAGTTCACGCTCAGCTTTTGAATCATGATTTAATAAAAAGGTGGGTGTTCTGTTTTATCGTTCATTTTTTTTTGTAAATTCTAGAAATAAAGCAATTAATTTTGAGGTTGGTAATGAGTCAGGGGCGTAGCCTGGAGGGGGTTGAGGGTCGGAACCCATCTCCCCCTTCGAAATGTAAAAATGGCTTTTTTGTCCTATAATCCCGCTACAGCATGTGTGTATTCGTAACAATCCAATTATACTGGTATCTTAATTACTCATACCGGTGCAGTTGCGGGTGCTTCCCTCTCCCGGCCCGCGAATATCCTTCAGCTTCTAACTTTGGCCTCCGGTCAATGAACTTTGGGAACTACTGTTCTGGAGTGTTATGAAGGGTAAAGATTCCAGTCTTCCATAATATATTATTTCCTTTTGTAACGGTGGTTGTTTGTTCTAAGGGAAAGCCTGAATACGCCATATATAATTGTTCTTTATTCTGATTTGTTTCTAATTTTCACAGGATGGCGAAATTGGGAGTAATTGCCAGCTTACAACCAACTAATGTACCAGCGGATGCGAGATACTCACGAGAAAAGATTTCCCCTCCCCTTCAAAAATGTATGTACCCCTGTCGTAGTCTGATCGATAACGGCGTCACATGCGCAGGTAGTAGCGATAGCCCTTGTCTGTTTCCTAACACTTTGTTAGGAATGTATGATGCAATATTTCGACCTGATTGTGTCAAAGGTCAGGGGTCGTTCCAGTTGAAAGAACAGGTCCGAGGTCAAAGGTCATTTCAGCAAGGTGAAGAGGTCACCTTTTCTCAAGCTGTTGATATGTACACATCAGATGCTGCTTATGTGGATTTTGCTGAAAATTTCATAGGGAGACTTGAACCCGGTTATTATGCTAATTTTGTGCTCTTGGAAACCCCAGTGGTGAATGGGGAGATTGTTGATTTGTCGAAATACCCTGAAAGATTGCTGGATACGCAAGTGATGCAAACTTGGGTGAGAGGGGTTCGATTGTATTAATGGGGTGTAGTTAATGAGTGGTGTAGCATATGATGAGGGTGTGGCAACCTTTTCGTGCACCCCAAATATTTTTAAATGATTGAATAAGGTTTTGTGGAAGGTTTAGTGTTGGGAAAGGTGTAGCAGGGTTGAGGAGCCAGCTGATTGTCAATAAATATTATCGAAGAGGCTACGGTTGGCTTATATTGTTCTGGTAGCTCTCGATATTTTAAGTTGTCGCTCTCCTTAGATTTTCAGTGATTGTCTGTGATTTTGCTCAGAGATGAGTCTTCATTAATGCTGAATGAGCGCACGTAGCCTTTTTATTAGCTGCCCATAACTTTGCTCAGTGATGAGTATCCTAATTTTCTAGTGAATGTACATAATATCTCTTGACCACTTTTCTTCCTTTTGGGAAGAATGCAAAAATCATGACTGGTGAGCAGATGAAACTGTACTCCTGTAGTATGTGAACCAAGATGGCAGACACCGGAACATAGTATGTGTACCAGGTTGGGGTTAGGCCATAATTTCAGCTTCAAATACTACGGGAGTCACTTGGCCAGTCCCCGAACTTGGTTTACATACTTCGGGAGTATCGATGAAACAATGTCTCAATCCTATTGTCAGCTTTCCTATCCCCTGGGATAAAAATTCACATGGATGGTTTTATCCTGTTATATGATATCAAGATCAAATGTGATTTCTTCAATTTAGTAATATTTTTAACACTTATGCAATTGAGTCATGCAAATGTTTCTTGGTGCGATTTTATAAATCTGTATTTTGAATAATGTCTTAGACAAGCTTCCTATGTAATTCTATTCTGTATTTTTGGACACGTTTAGTGGCCATAACGATCGTTTCAAAATTTTGTTGTTATTGTTATTTGTCTCCGTCTCCATTTTTAAAAAAATCGCTTTTCTCTTCGAACACTGGACCAATTGCTTTGATATTTTCAGTAGCCCCCTTTTTTTAGAAAATTTTTCAAGTCTCACGCCCACCTCGAAATAACTAGCTAACAATAAGCTACAAATAACAGATAGTGTACGTAACTATGTTTTATTCAAAAAATACACGGATGGAACGTGAATATCCACAATAAGGCGGGCAAGATCGAATCTAACAAATATTTCTATTTTTTATTGGCTTTACGCCCCCCCCCTCAAAAAAATTGTCCACGCTCTCCCATGTGGGGCGCGCCCCTCCGCTGAGAACCACTGTTATAATGTATTTAGAGCACCCGTAAGGCTGCAAATAAGCTGTAAGTTTCCAATCTGTACAATGAATGAATAAAGCTTTAGACCAGATTCATATAAAATTTGATACCATAATTTTAATTATGCAATGATGGTGCTATTTTTGCACGACAAAGCATTTTATTACTGTATATGGTGCTTATGTGCGACTTGTTTGACTGAATTCTTTTTAAAAAGCTATTTTTCATTCTGTACTGTTAACAAAATTTGAAATAATACAATTTTTTATTATATATGCAATTTGATTAAAACTTGAGATTTTAGTATACTTTTTAATTCAAGTGAATGTTATTGGTTATTTCATTTAGTAAAATATGGTACAATTCAATAAATGTTTTATCTTAAAAATACTGTCAACTTTTTTAGTCCATTCTTGTTCATTTGAATTTCATGCAGTTCGGAGAAACAACCACCAGACGCAATTCCAATTAATGCGTTTTCATATATGAATATTATATACCTTCTGTTCTTAACAGGGCTCTAAACAGGCAGGATAGGATTTACATATTTATCCCAGGAGAGAAAAGAGTGGATAAGGCGGCTTAATCATATGACGAACCACGGCTTCTCGTCTGGTATCGCATCAGTTAGCCTTTTCTTTACAGAAGCATAGACTTGATGGTGGAGGAAGCCATGTCCGACTAGCGGTAATGTGAACTACCATATGGCAACGAGGAGTCCAGCAATCTTTTCGCACATAATTAGTCCCTAATTGGTTAGCCCAATGCATCACACTGCAAGGATTTACTACAGGTAGTTTGTAAAGGCCAAAATCCTTCTGATTCAACATTGGCTACCAGAGTGATAGATGGGGTATTTGTTTTCCAGAGTTCTTTTTAGGCAATTGAATGTCTAATAATTTAGTAGAATGTGGTGTAAACTTTCAATGGCTCGGTATTGCCTGCAATGGAAGTTTGAAAGCAGTGCGGGTCAAGCCCCATTTAAGATGGTACCTAATTTGAATGTCGACAATCCTTGATTGCACATAATATAGCTACAATGGTATCAAGATAAAATCTCCATATTCTCGAATTGCTATTGGACCTGGCATCTTTACTCAGTCCTGGGACCAGGGCCGAAAAGGAGGCAAAAATCAATTTAAACCATGTCAATATAGAGGTCTGTGTCATAGGACCAACTCTAATTATTTCATTTAGCACTAAAGCACCATTAAAAATTGTCGATAGAAATTCTGTTGTGCCCCGTTTTGCTTGGTGCCCTAATCGCATGCTTATTCTGTCTGTATAATGTGTAATCCAGCCCGGTGACCGTACATTTCAACCCATGTGTATATCCGCAGGTTCAATCTATATGCGGATGCTAAAACCCACAGACTAGGGTTTGCATGGGTTCAAATATCCATAAAACAAAAAAAAATTCCATAGGTGCAATAGTATGCAGGTGCAATTGTCGTGGGTTCAAATGTAATGGAACCATCCAGCCCTGCTTCATAACCAGGTCGGAGGACCTGTGACATTTTTGGTGGAGCCAAGCTTACAATGTTAGCTGAAGCTACCAGAAATTTTAGTGATTCCAGCTCCTAACCATCTATTCCTTAACCTTAATACGCCTCACAAAAACCGTCACACAAATTTTTTCAATTTCGCTTTTATTAAAGACCATGATATACAAAAAAGTAATTTCAAGTCTCCTTAGTAAAAAGTTATAAGTGTCATCTCAAAATAAGGTAAACTGAAGCAGTTGTTCCCAATTTTTTTTTCAAGTGACCCAAACTTTTTAAAAAGTACGGTAATTTCATAAAATCTTGCAACCCAAGGATATATATACTCAAATACTAAATAGCATGTAGTGCCTTCATGGCCGCAAATTTAATTACTAATACAAAACAATATTTATTTCCTGCAAAGTAGGAAAGCTGCACTTGTTTTGGAAATCGTGGCGTGGCTGCACTTGAGCAAAACAAAATATGCCAAGTTTTTACGCAACGCACATATTTTCCACATACACAATTACTATTGAGCAACACTTCAAAGCCAAATACAAAATAAAGTTTACTAGAGATCGAAATTTGTAACTTTTAGGTTTTGTTGAAAAAACAAGCAACCCAGGAAACACTGGACTAAAGAACAACGGAACAGCATTCCAAGATCAGGAAGTTGGGAGTCAAAATATTTTACAGACCAAAGTAGGTGGTCAAATGTAAATTTCCCGACTTCACAGCCAACTTATTTTTACAGTTTTAAAAGGGAAAGCATTTTGGTCATAATATTAGACTTCAATTGCTCAAATTGAACTCCTTGGTAAAAGCAATATTGAGAATAGAAGCTCAGTGGCTGACTATAGAAAAAAGGTCATGGACGATATATATATCATTGTTTCTGAAATTAAATTTTGATATCAATTGTTTTTGAAATTGAATGAAGGCATTTTGGTCATACCGTTCGACGTCAATTGCTCAAATTCAACTCCCTGTAACATCTTAACAGAAAAAACGGGAGTGAGCAGTATTAAATCTAAAATAGAAGCTCTGTGCGTATCAGCAGCCACTAGTAGAAAAAAAGTTATGGCAGAGAAATCAAATATATCATTGCAATAATGTCCATCAAATCATATATTTCATTAAAGTCCACCTAATAAGTGTATATTTGCAGATTTCTCAGTCATCTGGTTTTGTAGAAACGTCTAGAAATAAGAAATATTGTGAGTTAGATTTCATAGAGTAGTGGTTGTCTGAAGTAAGCCCGCCTTGATAACTAGGGATCTCATTGGTTAAAAGTGTCAACTTATTATTGCAAGTTTGGTGCTATGGCCAGGGGCTTAGCAAAGCCAGAAGTTTTCAGCTGGGGAGGGGAAAGTTTAGACCAGGGTGGTCCAAGGTTGTCGGCTCCGCGGGCCACATAATTATTTTTGCATTGTTCGCGGGCCACAATAGTGCCAAGAATAGGTAAACAGTGCAATACAAAACAAACCCTTTTATTGTGCAAACACATAGTTATCAGGCATAGCCATTCTAGGCTAATAGAATCTGCATTCTATTTTCAGTTTTCTATGATGCCTATATTGTTAGCATATATTCCCGACCAAAAAGTTAGTAAGCCAGATAACAATTTAGACTGCCAAGCATATCATTCAACTTCGCTAGTTTCCCCAGCTAGCCATAAAACTATTTAATGACATTAGTGATGACAATATGTCAAAAGATTTTTCTGATTAATTTTATGTCGAAACAACACGAAATGGGATTTTTTGATTACTCTCCGAATGTGTCGCGGGCCACAGATAATGAAGCATCGGACCATATGTGGCCCGCGGGCCTGGGTTTGGACCACCCTGAGCGAGACCGAAAAAATGCGTTTCAAGCTCCGAAAAATTGCTATGCATGAAATGATAGAGAAAATGCTTTACCATCATTAAATTGGGTAAAAGAGTCAACATATCATTGCAAGATCAACTGTGGCCCACAGGAGGATTACCAGAAATGTAATAAATTGGGTTATATGGTACTGAGGAGCCTAATTACGCTAGACTTGCAATATGAATTTTGAATTTAATTACAGTGGTTCTTAAAGCCCAACAATTTTCGCCACATCCTTCCCTTTGCCGTTTTTTGGATCTCTTCATCTTTTCCTCACTACTCATAACAAGTCTGCAGAGTGAATGAGAGGGGGAAACCCCTCAAAAATTAATTACAACATGCTGCACTCTAAAACTTACTTCTTCCATCGCAAGCTACAATTTTAACTTTATCGCATTTGATTGTATAAACAGAATTCCTGAATTCAACATTCTTCACCACAAACGTCCAGACATTATCGCAGAATCTGTATGTGTTCAGATCTCCCTGAAATTGGAATAAGTATTTAAAAAAGGCTCTGAGTGCGTAGAGACATGCAGCCCTGTCCTGGCCGTCCCGACATCTCTCCACTAGAATACCACAGTAAAAATGTTTGGAGTTCACTTCAAACAGATCAATTTGAATATTTGAAGCCTACATTGTGCCCAAAAGTTCAAATCTCCCTGGTATTACATAGCATTCAAAAAGGGCTTTGAGGCATAAGTTTATTTTGACTCCATAATCAGCATAACAATAAAATGATTGATAGAAATAAATAAATAAAAACTGATTATGAAATCAGGAGAGCAAACAAAACCTTAGAAAGGTTCAAAACATACAGATTATAAGATTTAAGGTTTTGTCAAGAAGAAGTGTTACATGTTCACTAGCCCAAAATTTTTAAATTGATTCACATCCACACAACCACAGAATGTGCACCCCCTCTCCTGGGTGTCCCCACATCTCTTCAAATAGAATACTATGGTAAAAAATGTTTGACTTCGATAACTGAATTTTGATCACACCAAATAGATTCGAAGGTAATTATATTCAATTTGAATAAATAAATCCCCCATTGTGCTCAAAAGGCCTTCAAGTCATTTCTAAAAATAATAATAGAGAGCCAATAAAATCATCATAATTTTCTTGCAATTCCAAAATCAATTGCTTTTAATATAATTTAAAAAGGGACAAAATAGTTACCTTAAATTGTACTCTAGTTTTAACTCTGGCTGCTAAAGCATTGTTGATCGCTTTATCAAATTCAAGTAAAACTCTGAGTGCAAGTTGTGGCGTGATTTGCTGACTCTGCAAAAATAAAAATTGACTTGATATGAGAAAAATAGGGAGATGTTAGGGTTTTCCTATTTATTTTGGGAAAAGAAAGCCTATGAGGTTTAATCATATGACAAACTAGAGCCTCAAGTTTAGTAAGCATCCCAAGATGATATACAGATATGGGAATGATTAACCAGTTTAACTGTTAGATGGCAGGAAGTCATCAACCGCTTCGAGGGAGCCGACTCTGATGACCATATGGTCGTATCGCTCCCCCCAGTATATAGCCCACTATAAACATGTGTATTTGTATATTTTTTATTGTTGCAATATGTATTTTCTAGTTGATGAAACAATTAATCTCACTCTCACTCACTCAAACATAGGATTTACATATTTATACCGAGAAAAAAAAAACAGCCTAATTATATAACTTGAATGCACATGCTCAGTAGACAGAAGTTGTCAGTAACAAAATAATATTTAACTTTATGGAGTCTTTGGCCCGTCACATGCTTCCTTTTTTTTCTAAATAACAGAATAAAAAACAGAAAAAAATTAGATATTGCAAAATAGTTATCATGACACAAACCTGTATTAATTCATCCAAAGACTCTTGCAAGCTGTTCCCCAAAGTTGTATTTCGATAAAGCTGGTAACTCATCGTCAATTTCTGACAAAAACCAACTAAAAACCGTCAACAAAGCGAAGAAATACAAGAATGAGATCTGAAATTGGAAAAGGCAGCAAAGTACTATTTTTGTGACATGTTATAAATTTTATGGCATCTACTCGATTTGAAGCCTCAATGAATACTTATAATAACAGTGGCGACAACGGAATACATTACACAGTAATGAACATTTTTAGAAATAAAAATATTGTTTTTTTTAAAGTCCATAAAAGCAAGATGTTTGGCTTTAAATTTGGTTTTTAGTAATTAAAAATAGCCACTCCTGCAAAGGTCAAAATATAGATGTCACGGTTGAGTTGCATTCATCGTAAATTACAAATTTTCATCTTTGCCGCTTTCAGGTTTGAAATTTTGGGATTTATCGAAGATTTTTTCGAAAGAAATGAAACGATGGAACCAACAGATGAGCTAAAAAAAGATTTATTGTCTTTGGTTTGGGGAGAAAATATTTCTGAAGCAATAATAAAACGGTGGTCTCAAGGTGAGCATTCTCATACTTCTGCTCTTTGTGTTTACTGTAAGCTCGCAGCAATAACATGACGCCTATCTCAAAACACTGAAACAGAATCCTTTTTTTTATTTCGTTCAGCATTGGTTTATCATGACAATTGAACAACGTAAGCCAAACAGTTGCAGAGTGGAGGATGAACTAACAAATAGAAAATATAAATTAACTTAGTGCAACGTGCTTGAAGCGTGATTAATACGCTTCAAATTCCATGGGGGATACCGGTAATTATGTTCGAGGTTACTGGACTCTTCGCTGCTGCAGGGTGGTTCACATAACGTCTGGTCGTTTACGGTTTATTCCACCATCAAGTTCATACATCTGAAACAAATAACTTGCCAACTATTCCCATATCCGGACTTGTGGGATAGCATGTATTTATGTATATTTCAACTTTATCCTGGGTTATGCTCGGCTTTATGATTGCATTTTATTCGCCACAATTCTACGAATATAATTTCACATATAATCATGTATTATCACAAGTTTAAACCGATTAGAGAGTTATCTTGTGTTTTTTGGCACAAGGTGAGGTTGCCCATGCAGTAGCCTACTCTCAGTACCCTACCCTATTTATATCTCATGTTTTGCATGATCTTTCTGCATTTCTGTCATGTGTGTCTGTCGATAGTTTTCTGAATATTTTGTACAACGAAGTACTGTGTACTGTCCGAAAATAAGACAGTGTCTTATTTCAATTTTATTTCGAAAAAAAACACCGGGCTTATTTTGGGGATGTGTTTTATTTTCATTTATCACAAAACAAAATTACGAAGTAGAGAATTACAAGATTTTCAAATGAACAAAATATGAAAACCGATATCCATTTACAAATAAACTGCTAAACATAGATTATTTAAAAATGACTAATCATTTAAAACATGCAAGGGAGATTTCTTGATATTGACCAAGTAAAAAAAAATCACACTATCGACTAGGTCTTGATTTAACGTGAGGGCTTATATCAAAAAACAATTTTAAAATTCAGGCTAGGTAATATTTACGGATAAACACTATATGATGATCTTAAGTTATTTCATTTAGATGACTGAGTCACTTTAAGTCTTCGATAAATGGTGACTCGAATACTGCATTCCGGATACATTGTCCTGAACTAAAATTTATACGAATGGAGCCCAAACCAGAGGTGTGCGTTGTTAAATTATGGTTTGTGGTGAAATTTGGTGAACAAAAGTATCTCATCATCGCATTATTATTTTGCAATTTTGGATCTTGACAGTCACTAATTAAGGTTCCTTTTTTAATTGACCCAGAGCGTATCTAGGGTATGGCAGCCATGGTTCGTGCCATAGGACAACTCATATTGCCAACTCATATTTTTACTTAAATGATATCGTACAAGAGTCGTAAAAAATTTTCAGTCAATGATCAAGGGATCCAGAGTGAGTTAACCCAAGGGCCGGCAACAAACTTGCATAATGTTAAACAGGTTCATGGTCGCCATCTTGTGCCATATTGGGACGCGAAACAATGAAGTCTTATGGGAAATTTTCGTCGTGTTGTTGTACCGAATCCAATAAGTCAGCTGTTATAAGGGCTAGAATGTAGCCGAAGGGTTAATTTTGAACTTTAAGCTATATGCTTCCTAAATATATAACACAATTCAAAATAAAAAACTATCTAATGCGTTAAATTTGGCCACAACACAACGTAGAACCATTTTTGGTCATCTTTTTGGAAACTTTTATTGTGATACGCCGATTTGAGGGAGTATAATGCCAACGCAACAATCCTACAATATCATTTGGTCTTCTAGCGCAGCTCGGAGTTGAGCAGGCGGGCATTATGAAGCTTGACAGGCGAGAAAATGTTGACTCGAAAATAGAAAGGGCCATTGAAGCGAAGTTGGGTCCCGAGGTAATTTCGACGAACAAATACAACTGTTCATCTGTGACATCACAAAGAACACCATTGGCAAATGGTCAATTATGACGATGAGAATGGCCAACTTACTTCGGAAGCAACTCGAAACAGGCATACTTGTATTTAAAGACAATTTAATGTACTATAAATGCAATTTGGCAAACATGAAAGTATATCACCATGTTCGCCTAAGCTTCTACTTCAAAACGCGACCTTCAAAATCTTTCTATCTAAAATATGAAAATAATAGGTATGTTTCAATAATTGTGTGAGAACTTCCCATAAGGCGCCGTGTTATATGGCCGAGAACGATAGGCACAAGATGGCGTCCATTGTCTGAGCGTTGCCTCGCTTGTATTATATATACGCTTTGAGTTAACCAAGCCAGAAGCATCTGTGACGAGGATATGAATTCATTGATGTTTTGTTTTCAAGGTTTTGAATGGAGCCCAGATGAGCGTTGTGCGCTGACACAAAGACACGGAGGACCTTGTGCAGTCATTGTACCTGTGCAAGCGTACTTCGTTAAAAATTTGATCTTCAATGCTCCAGAGAATAATGAGGATTTACCTGAAGTTAATAATTGTGACTGGAGGAATTTACAAGGTTAGCCTTTTCTTGTTTGGACAGTTGGGATGCTAATCCTCCCCTCTTGTGAATTGTAAAATGTGAAAAAAACAGTTTTTTTTCGGGGCTCCCGAAGTATGCGAACCAAGATGGCGGACATCGGAATGTAATATGTGTACTAGGTTAGGGTTAGGCCATAATTTTAGGTATAAATAGTACATGAGGCTCTTGGCTAGTCTTCGAACTGATAATAGGACTAAAATAAGGAAAATTGGAAAAAAATTATCGCCTAACCCTAACCTGTTACCCATGTCACGTTCCTATGTCCGCCATCTTGGTTCGCAGACTTCGGGAGCACCTTTTTTTCTCAATCCTTGGTAGCAATTATTCATAGCTTAAAACTCTATTCAGACCCTCAAGATTCCTGAAACCCATGTTTTCTGGTCCCTGGCCAGCTAGTTTTACTGTCTAACTAGGCCAGGGTGGTCCAAGGTTGTCGGCTCCGCGGGCCACACATTTTTTTCCGCATTGTTCGCGGGCCACAATAGTGCCAAGAATAGGTAAACAGTGCAGTACAAAACAAACACTTATATTGTGCAAACACATAGTTATCAGACATAGCCATACCCGGCTAATAGAATCTGCATTCGATTTTTAGTTTTCTATGATGCCTATATTGTTAGCATATATTCCTGATCAAAAAGATGATGTAACAATATGTCAACAGATTTTTCTGAATAATTTTATTACGAAACAACACAAAATGCGATTTTTTGATTACCTTCCGAATGTGACGCGGGCCACAGATAATGAAGCGGCGGGCCACATGTGGCCTGCGGGCCTGGATTTGGACCACCCTGAACTAGGCAAGTCGAAATTTAAGTGATCCCCTTTTAATAATTCTTGGCCATGCCCCAGGCGACATGTGTCTATTATAGTTTACTCAACCGTTTCTCTCCTAGAAGTCTTTTGTACCTTCTCAAGTTAATGGTTCATTCTGGCCTATCATTTGCCATTAATTCAGCATAATTTGAAAATTGTGTTTCAAGACGGGCTTTTTTACAGACCGATTTAACCTCGCTCATCAGACAAACACTTTTATGTCTCTATCTCTGTATTGCTTTGTTTTTTTAGATGAACAAAGAAAAGAAGTATTTCTACGAACCCTTCGTGAAATGTTGGAACGTTCCTCCTCGTCACAAGAAAATAAAACGATAACTTTAGTAACTTTTGATAAAGATAGGACAACGCCAGATGAACCAGGTTAGTAGTTATTTTATTTTGTGAAACTGGGGTCTCGACTCTCGAGTCTGACTGAATTTACATCTTCAAACTCTAAGCTACCTTAAAATTGACTCCAGATTATCTTTTCAGTACGCGAACATCTTTGTACCAATTGAATACCTGGCTAAACTGAGGACGTTGTAGAGCATTTTCTGTTAAAGTGAACAATTTAGGATCCAACGCTTCACAGCTCTGCCCTCAATAAGTGTCATTTTTTTACGAAGTGTCTTGATACCTCACATTAAAGACACCTTTGGACAGCAGCCACTAGTAGTTGATATAATTTTTTAAGATCAGAGTTTCCGAATCCATTTCAGTTCTTTGTGTAAGTCTACCCAATTTTATCACACTCTGACTGACGTGATGGGCATTGGGGTTTTAATATCATATTTTTTGTCAACGATTTTTCGAAGATAATTAATAATTTTAATAGTTCAAGTCCATACCCTATTATTCCAACTTTAGAACACTGTGACTCTGCTAATCATGAAGAAATAGAACAATTTTCAAAACATTCAAGATTAAGGTGAGAATATATTTGTTCGGCTTTTTCAAACCTCCGCTCTGGACTCTGTCATACAGAAGGGGATATGGTCATCAGTGTCAGCTCCCTGCATATTCACTATTTTGCAATATGTATATGAAACTGACGGTTATTGTGAGTAAACTGAAACGAAAAATGTTTCAAAATGTGTACTCCCAAAGTATGTGAACCAAGATGGCGGACACCGGAACGTAGTATGTGGACCAGATTAGACTTAGGGCTTAATTTTATTCCGATTTTCTGTATTTTAGTTCTATTATGAGTTCGG